TTTTTATTTATTAGATTAGGTTTATGTAATATTCTTTTTATTTATTTTTTATTATTTTATTTTCTTTAAATAAAAATAAAAAAATTCTAAAAAAATATTTTTAAGGAAAAGTTGAAAGTATCAATTTTCCTTAGAAATAAATTTCCAAAATAAAATATTTTTAGGGAAAAGTTGAAAGTATCAATTTTTCTTAGAAATAAATTTCCAAAAAAATATTTTTGGGGAAAAGTTGAAAGTATCAATTTTCCTTGAAAATCAAAATTTCAAAAAAAATATTTTTGGGGAAAAGTTGAAAGTATCAATTTTCCTTGAAAATCGAAATTTCCAAAAAATATTTTTGGGGAAAAGTTGAAAGTATCAATTTTCCCTAAAAAAAAATTCATTCTTTCCTTCTTTTCTATCTTAATTTTGATTTTGTTTTTTTTTTTCTTTAAATAATCCGACGACGGAGCCTCTGCAAGTGAAACAGTAGTTTTTCTTGCATACTCTTGAGGTGAGGGAATTTTCTCAATTTTCTGCTAAAAGTATTAGAGTCAATTGAGAAAATTTCTAATAATTAATTACTTGGTAAAATTTTAAGGCTTTTGGATAACACAAATTTAAGCTGGTACCATCTTTTGATGGGCGTTGTGAGGGTGCTATAACCTTCCTCACACGTAACCGAACTCCCGAACCCTGTTCTGGTTTGTAGACCTGAACCTATTCTTTTAGGGACCCTTAAACTTAGGTGTTCCCTAGAAGGACGAATTGCATAGGTGGCCAATCGCACCTAGATAAAAAAGATTGGTGGCGACTCCCTAAAAGTCAATGTCTAGCGATAGATCCCCGGATCTAGACGTTACGACAGACATTTATTTTCAAATAATAATAAAATTAAAGTGAGAAATTTATAAAAATAATAAATTAAAATTTGAAATAAAAATTTAGATCTTGAATGAAAAATCCAATAATAAAATTCTAAAAAAATCATGAATTGTTAATTTTTTAAGAAATTTTTAGGTGAAAAATATATTCAACTATGACTCAATAGATGAAAATTTCCATTAAATAAAATGTTTGAGTTTATGTATATATTTTTTATCTTGCATTTTACTTTATTAAATAGACTAGCTTTTTTTACCTGTACTTGGCACAGAATTTTTTATTATATTTTTTATAATTTAAAATTTTAATTTATATTAATTTTTATATTATATATATATACATAAAAATATTCATAATCATCTATAATTTGTAATTTAAAATTACAAAAGCCATCTATATATAAATTATTATGAAACAATCCAAATAAGTATTATGAAAATTTGAATTATAAAAATAAAATTACATACAAATCTCAAAGAGAAAGTCAATCTCTTGTTCACAATTATATGCACTCTTAAAAGTATATATTATTTTAGTATAAAAACTAAGTTTACACATGTGATATATCATGAAAGACTTTTTCATATTTGATTTTGAAACTTTATTATGCCAAACTTTTGTGAGCAAAATCTTATTGCTTTATCTTTTATAAAGAAGAAAATATTTATTGTGAGGAAAAATTATAACTATATATTTGATGATTATTTAATTTTAAAAATGTAGTTTGTCTAAGTTAATTTAGATATGTGTGTAATTTTAAATTGAAATAAAATATTTTTCTCATCTATTTTAAATCATAGAAAAATAAAGGCAAAAAAATTGGTAAATAACAATGAATGTGAATATTGATTTATACATTGTATGATTTTTTATGATTTCTAAAATCTAGAATTTAACTTTTAAAAATTATTTGAATTTTGTATTTCAATAAATGAGCTAGATTGAGGTAGAGATATGTTTTTTCAAATTTAAATTAGGATAAACCTTATATACTTTGAAAAACTTCAAAAAATGTAAATTTTGAAACTTTAAAATTTTTAAAAATTAAATAATTAATCGAATAAAGTTATTTAGAACTATCCTATGTGTCAATAATGTAGATTGTCCACTTAAGCATCTACATAAACAAAACTTATCAAGTTTTTATATATGTTGTAATATAATATTATAAATGATTTTAAGAACTTCAATTAGTCATACAACAAAAGTATGCAAAAATATAAATATTTTTAAAAATTAAAAACACTTAAATAATTTTTTTATAGTGAAGCACGAGTAATATTTTTAGTTTAAAATGAAAAATATACATTTGCTAATTTTTTAAATCAAGTTTACTTTTTTAGAATAAATTAGCATGTTACTCCATACAATACATGGATTATTTTTATTTATTTAAATATGTTTAGATATATAAATTAATATAATTTAATCATTTAGATATTCAATATATATGTAAACTACAAATAACATAATTAAGATATCAAAACATAATAAAATTAAAAAATTTTAATTAAAGAATTAAAAAAATTCAAAACATAATAATATTTGAGAAAAAAATTAAATCGACAAAAAATTTGTGTATAAATTTTATTATTGAGTACACCAACAAAATATTAAACAAAGTTTCATCAATACTTCAAATTAACTTTCTTCAATTTGTGCCATTTTATCTTATGCAATTATTTTTATACATCTACAAGTTTATATAATTTTAAAATAAGTTTTATTTATTTGAAAAAAGCAATGATTTTAATTGTTTAAATAATATGTGTGATAATTTACTTAGATGTATAGCTTTTGCTTAAGTTTTAGTAATATCTTGATCTTCAACATCTATAAGATTTATCAAATTAATTTTTATACTTATTTTAAGCTTTACATTTGATATAAAATTATGTTAATATAAAAGCTTAAATGAAATAATTTTAAATTTTAAATAATAGTATTAAATTTTAAACAACTATTTTAAAAAGTGTTGTAAAAAGATTTTAATGAGAAGGTGTTAGTTCCCATTTACAGGATTTTTATAATCAATTTCAAAGGTAAAAAAATTTACATTTTGGTTTTACAACTTGCGTTTTTCTTTGCTTCCAAAAAAAACCCAATAATACTATAAACGATCTAAATTATAAAATTTAATTTTAAATAAATAAACATTATTTTACTTTTATATTAAATAATTATTTTAGAATTAGTACTGTATTTTAGTCATTTGCTTTTATTTATAAATTAAAAAAATAAAAGAAAAGTGCAAAAAAATCAACAATTACAAGTAAATCTATACAATTTTTTTAAATAAATAAATAAAACCAACAAAAAATGCTTAAACAATTAAATCAATATTTTTTACTTTCAATTATCAAAATACTTCAAAAGTGTTATTATTGTGCTAGATTGATTTTCTTCCTTCGCTCTAACATCTATGAATTGTCAAAATTTTTTTGTAAAATACATGCATACTTTTTGGAACAAACAAAAATTTCAAGACTTTCATAAAAATTCAAAAACAAAAAAAAGTATAGATTTTAACTTTTTAAAATGTGGATGCACATATCATAAAAAAAATATAGTAAAAAAATGCACTCATATATAAAAGAATTGTAGAAATATAATAAAAAAGTTTTGTGTATCTCACAAGTTAAAAAACCATTTCTTTTCAAGAATAAAGGTTGAAAAAAAACACAAAAATAAAAATTAACATTGAGAGTATCATTAAAAAATAAGTTATCTTCTAATATATGTAATATTTGGTCTTTTTAAATTTAAAAATAACCAAATAATAAAGGACTATTATGAAATCTCTAAAAAATAAAAATTATATTTTAAATTTCAAATTTAAAATGATATATATTAAAATTAGTAAAAATTTTACTTTATAATATTACTACATTTGAGATTTTTAGATTTCAAAAGATATATATTTATATTATTAGAAACCTATTTTAAAAGACAATATACTATTATATTTGAAATTTTAAACTGAAAAAGATAAATATTTAGATTATTTGGAAATGCATTTTTAAAAAATAATATATTTAAATTAGATTTTGTTGCTACTGATTTAAAACTAATTGAATTGGTCTTCTAGTTAAATTTAAAAGTTTTGGATAATTAAATACTTTTTAAAAATATATGCTTTTTTATAAATAGCTTAAAATTAAAAAATATTTTATATGTTTAGGAATTTTCCTACGTCTCCAAAAGAAAAATCATCCACCTAAATGCTCACGTGAACAAAATTTATCAATTTTCCATACATGTTATAATATAATATTATATATGATTATCAATTTTTTTATTTGTTAAAAAAGTTATATGTGTATGGATATTTCAGTAATTTTATAATTTTTGTTAATGTCGTTTAATGTTTTTTTGTTGTCCAGTTCTGAAACTAATAGATTAGGGATGAATTAGTATCAAACTTCAAGGATGCAAATGAAATTTATCTTAAAATTAACATAAACTTTTCATATTTACAATTAGGCAATTTTGATATTTTCTTGGTATAATTATAAAGTTTAGGATAAGTACGCACCTAAATATAAATAAATAAATTTAGGTTATGTGTTTAAAAGATTAAGTTTTCAAAATTAATTACTCATAAAATTTTTGAATATCCTTGCAAAAAAAATTCTAAATGTCTTTTCTCCTAACTCTCCATTCATTGTGAAAATATGATGAGTGGATTAGTTCTTTGTGATTAATTTTAATATGCGTGAACTGTTATTTTTAATGTCTTACTTGTTCGATTAGAATTGTGCTCATATCCCCCCCCCCCCCCCTTTTTTTTATATAACTATTCTCTGAACCAATTCCTCAATTTTTTGTCGATGAAATCCGCACATTAAATTTCACAAAATTTTGAATTTATGAAGCTATATATCCATGTGTCAACCTATTTTTTGACTTTTTTTTTGTTCTTTCATATGGCCAAATTCCATGGGCTTTTGCATATGAAAAAGTGGAGAAAGAAAAGATTGAAAGATTGATGGGACAGAGAGTATCTGTTTCCAGGTTTACCTATTATATATCCATGATAACTATGAATTTCATTCATTTGTACTGCAATGATAATAATAATGCTTCCATCGATGTTGAATTATGTATTTTCTTTATGAATTATAGATAACTTTATGATAACATTCAGCACAATGACTCAGGACAATTGATAGCAGATAAAACATCAGTAATTTCATTAAAACATTAACACACATATATATTTATTTAGACACATAAGGAATGCTAACAGGGATGTATACACCAATACAGTCTCAATTTCTTTTTTCTTTTTTTCGATTACTCATAGGGAGTTTGGAGGATGAACTGAGAAGGTAGGCGTAGCTTGGAGTCGAACCAGGGTTATCTACTTAAGTTCTTCACCATACAAGTCCAAGAGGCACCAAATTGAACAGTTCACTTATTTACCATAACTCGTTAAGCCTCTCTATTACTTATATATATATATATATATCTATATTTATCAGGTGCCTTTTTTAACTGATTTTGTAGCAATTTTAGTTGGAAAGCCAGACAAGGGTCTCTCTGAATAGGAAATGGCAAATAGGGACAGTTCCTGGCTTAACTTTGAGAATCTGAAATGCCAAGTGCTTGGGGTTCCAAGTTGAAGTATCTTTGTGACAAACGGCCAACGCCCTAGCTCTTGTGCCATCTGCCCCAACTAATGGAACCGTATACAGAGCTGTTTTATGAATGGAATGGCATAAAAACACAGCATATGCATACGTCATCTTGTGACAAACTATCTCTGATTCTCCCATCAATTTCACTCCCTGGCCAATAGTAAACTTTTGGTTTTGTGTTTCTTTTTTCAATTCATTTGACAGAAGCTGGATGTTTTTTCCCAGTTTGGAAACACCCAAATCGACAAAGGACTCCAACGATGTAGCACAATACTTTTCTTCTCCTTCAATGGCAGGTCTTTCACAATTCTCAATTGTTTCTTTGAGCAAGTTAGCTTCTGCTGATTTTGCTTCCAGTGAAAAATACTTCAAGATTTCCGGAATCTTTTGGGTTGAAAAGGGGATCGACTCTGCAACTGAACGTGGTAGGAATGTTGCTTTGCTTGCTTTTTTGGTTAGGTCCTTTACAATCATCGTCCTACCAGGATGCAGCTCGCTCTCAAAAAAGAAGGCATCTTTGTTGGTTGGGGCGTTTCCATCTGCAAATTCCTTGCTTGGTTTTTTATACGCATAAATTTGTAACCTGTCTACTACTTTATCATTGTTCTTAACTATGTCACTTAACATGTTCTTGCTTACTGAATTTGATTTCAAAAAGACTTCAATTTAGAATCCTACGTACTTCAACTGTTAATTATAAATTAGAAGAACCATTGAATACTTTAAAGGTTTAAAAAAATAATTCGATTTAGATTTAAAACTTATAAACTAATATTTACCCAAACTATTATAGAAATCAAAATTTGTTGAACTTAATGGATTATAGTAGATCTATACATGGGTTGAGCCGGACCAAATTCAAGCTAGACTTAAACAAGATATTAATAAGTTTTAGGTATTTTCAAAAAGCCCAACGTAACCCGAAATATAGGTTTATTTTGCTACCTAAGTTTGACCTTAAATGAAATAAGTTGTTCATGCCAGCTCACCTTTCAATTTAAAAATATAAAATAAAATTAACTTTTATAATAATATTAATCATGACAAAATAAATAATCAACAAAATAAAAGCTTAAAAAATGTATCTTTCATGAAAAACTAATTATATATTGATAGAGTGCTGATATATAACTAATTATCTGTTAATAAATTTATAATTTAAATATCAGATTAAAAATTTTTAAAATTTAATTATCACATTAAATATTTTATTATAATTTAATGATCATAACATTAAACTTTTCAAAGATAAATATTTTACTATAGCTTAAGAGCTATTTGTGACATTAATTGTTCAAGAAATAAGGAGTAATGTTGGCATTGTCACCTTCGAATTCCTTGCTTGGATTTCCATATTCAATTAGATCGCGTTTGTTATCCTTGACAATATCTGCCAAAGCAAGTTTCTTGTCTCCTGCATTTTGTGTACAGAGACATAGAGCATTAGAAGGCTTACCTGAATTTTATGTCTACACGTTTATTGATCAAACTACAAAGAAAAACAAAAAACCAGCAGCTGGTAGTAGAAGATTTCGTAAGGCTTCTGGCATTGGAGTGTTTGGGAACACAGACCTCCAATACATCTCTACAGGTAGAGCAGCATGGCTTACTGCAAATGCAAGCTGCCACAATGTCGAGAAACTATCATTAGCTTATTTTATTATCCAATGAAATAAGCAAATTATTGAGTAAAAATTGCAAAAGTAGAAACAATCCGTGTTAATTAATTATTATTTTTACTATTAAGGTTTTTTGTTTAAGCGATAAAAATTATTGAGTTTTATTCAAATCTCATGTTGGTCCATATAAATAATTTAATGAATTAATGAAAAATTAATTTTTCATCGCTTCCTGAAAGAATTAAACCCAAACAATAAAAACAAAAAATTCATTTGAATATAAAATTAAATAAATGATATAACCACTCAAACTTAGCCTAGCAAATAAAATAAAATAAACAATTAATATCTATGAATAATAAAATTTTAAAAAAGTTGACCTGAGTAATCAATTTGAATGTCTAATTTTTTATTTGGATTGTTTCAAAATAGTTTGCTCTCAATATTGATAAGAACTTGGTACTCACAGTGATGGCTGTAGCAAAACAACGTAGGAAACGAAAATCCATTGAAGCTAGCTTATAAAAAGAAGAAAAAGGCAACTGAAATTTAGAGTTGGGGACGGAATTAATTAAAGTATGAAGCCAGCAACTCTATATATTCTTGCAAAAATGCAGAGTGAGACGACATGCACTGGCAAGCAGAGGTCATATGGATATAATTGATTTGATAAGAGAGAAACAAGATAGCCTTCAACTAAGATATTTTTAGACGTAAAATGACAAGATACAATTTGCATTTCGGAAGACAGCTTCGATCGCCGTTTAAAAAGAATCTTAGTGTTGACGTCACACCAGTTCTTAACCTCCATTTTATTTACCACCAAAGGAATTTGATTCCAAATCGTGGAAGGTAATCATAAATGCAGTGGCTGCTTCAAATGGAGAAGTAAGGAGTCTTGGATACCTCTAAAGATAGGAAAACAAGAAAATTTAAAGAAAATTTTCTCTTAGATACTTTCAAGATATTTTCTTATTCACTTGTTAATAAAATTGATAAATCCGTAAATATTTTTTATTTAAATTAGGAGTGAAAAATCTAATATATTAATAAATGCAAAAATCATTAAATTATAATGATCATTCGACTAAACATGCATCATTTTTTTTTTCATTTGTCAAATTTAAAAACTCTTATAGCATAATTTTAATAATTTTAGTATAATTATTTATTACACAAGCTAGATAGGAAAAAACCCATTTTAACTCATCACTACTATTAATTAATAATTAGGATTTGATCTCAAATCATTGGCATATATGATCAGTTAAACCTATACTAAGTTATTAAAGTACTTGGCATTCGGTAATAAATGTATGGTTGGATTGATCAGTTCTACTTTCAAGGGGATTTTTCCCATTGAATATTTGAATTTCACCCACAAAATGAAAACCACCCATTAATATTTGAGCAGGCTTTTTACTTTTGGAAATTGATTTTACAATAAGTCAAAATAAAAGAAACCCATTTGATGGTACATCTCTTATTTATATGGTTAGAAATTAAACTTTTACAAGAGAATGATTCACTTGTATTAATGTAAATTTTTTTTAATCTTTAAATTAAAATGATTAAGATTTAAACTATTATTTTAATTTCAATTAATCATAAATTTAATTTTTAATTTAATAATAAAAAAATTATTACTTGCATTAATATAAATATCTTACTCTTTTTATAATATTATTTTATAAAAGAGACCGAAATCCATGAATAAAGGAAAAAGAATTATTGCAAATGTTAGAAATCACAATCTTATAAAAATCTACTTCCTTAAAAATAAATTTATAAATCATTTAAATTAAATCCTAAATTCTAAATTTTTATAATTTATCCGCTTATATAAAAAAACTGTTGATAATTTTGTTGCACATCGTCGTCAGCCGCCAGATGCACAGTATTACGTGTACATTGTCCATACCAAAGCTTCAAGATTCATAAGTTCACCTTAGAAAAAGTTGGAGGAGTGGCGGCTGAATGATCCGATCATTGATTGTAGTAATTTCGACATGTATCGTCATATCATTTAGAGAAAACGATATGTATAAATATAAATACCCAATCTTTTGGGTAATCATATAGACTTAGATTGAATTAAGCCCTTAATAAAAATTAAGGATTTAAGAGAACAAAATGGTTTAGCTATAAGTAATTACTTTTCTATCAACAAAGGGTTCGTCTATAACTCAACCACTGAATTGAAAAAGATAAAATTCGCATAGATTGCTTTTTCTTATTCCGAGCAAACATCTTTGTGGGATGTAAGAAAATCTCATTCTAGGTTTTTTTTTTTCTTTTTTTCCTCTACCAAAATAATTTATAGAATCTCATTCTAGTTATACTAATTTAAATTAAAATAATTTACTACGGCACAAATTATTATTGTTAAAAGTAAATTTTTAGGAAAGATTTTAGCTCAACAACTTTGTGATTGAAAGCATAAATTACTTTGAAGCAAAAAAAAAAAAGCCAAATTTGTAGTTTTACAAAAAATAATCCTGGAATACGTTATATTGTTAAATTTTGATTCTTTGAAGTGAATAGTGATTGAAAGGTGCTCTATCATTGTCACAATTATATTCACAAAAAAAAAAAATCTCAATTATTGTTAACAAAATTCACAAAATTGTGAGCATGTTGCGTGATGTTGAAAATTTGTCACATATATAACATATGTGTTTCGTTATCATATTTTATATAAGGATATTAATTTATCTATATTTAATGGAGAATCTAATTTTTTATCTAAATATAGATGGAGATGAGTATTATATTATGGATATAGGGATTGGGATAAATATGATTTTAAATTTTATTAAGTACAAAAATGGAGATGGATAATATAGCATCGACTCCATACTTTTACCTTATGTATCTATTTATATATATTTAATAAATAAAATTTTTATTAAATAATATAAATTATTATTTTAGATTAATTAGAATTAATATATTTTTATTGAATATATATTAATATATATTTATAAAAAAATTACTTAAATATACAAGATAAAAATAAAAAAATAAAATTTGATTTTTATTTTTTATTTTTTTTAAAGCTATAAGTATAGGGATTACCCATATCTATTAAATATCAGTGGGGTGTGATAGGGATAAATTTAAAATACCTATTGGATATAGGTATGCAAATGTGTATAATATAAAAATATGAGAATGGAGAATACTTTACCCTTCTCATATCCTACTCATTAACATCCCTAATTTTATATAACAAATCAACGCTAAATAATGTTGAAAATTTGTCATATATATTTATATATATATACACATACACATATATATAACATGTGTATTTCATTATCATATTTTATATAACAAATCAAATTTAAATTTATTATTTCAAATATATCTTTTAAAATAAATTTTAAAAAATAAAATAAACAATTTAAAACACAAAAGAAAGTTAAACCTTAAAAAAAGAAAACCCCAAGAAAATAAAAAAAAGAGAGTCAATTGGGATGTTGTGTGTGCATTTTTACTTATGGATGATAACAGGTCGGGTCATGGTTGATTTTTGCTTGCTTTAACCTAACTTGATTCTTTAATAATTCAATGTAACTCTAACTTAGATCTAGCATCAAATTATTATTTTTCACACCCAATTTCACCCAACACACACACACATACACCAACACGCATATATATATATATATATATATATAACTGCATCCAATCTCACTAGACTCAAAATGAATTCAATAATTTTAATTTAGTAGAATATTATAAAACCAGTATTTTTTGCTAACAATTGCATGGTGTGTTAGTAAAAGTGTTGGATTTTTAGTTCTAATGATCAGAAATCAAATTCTGATAGTCTCAAATATTAAAAATATAAAACTATTATTTTTAGTATCAATTATATTTTAATGTATAAATGTAATATTTTTATTTAATTAAGATAATGCATAATAACTTGATTAATATAATATAAATATATATGAATATAAAATTAAATAATTAATAAAATGTATATTTATATATATCTAAGGAGGGGGGAGGAAACATCCCAAACCCACATCTGAATCGATCTTGCATTTCAAAAAAGAAAAATTGCCCTGGCTTTGACTCGATTTCAAGTTTTGAAAGAAAAATCATTCCTATTAGATCGAGGAATGTCAAAATCCATAAGATACAGATTGTTTTACCATCATTACTTCTAGTGGCCCATTTTCTTATAAAATTTATCTGATTAAAAAAAAGAATGAAAAAACTAAAAAAAATAAAGGGCTAAAAAAATCGAATATGGTGCCACATAAACACCTTAATTGACTATTTATCTTTTCAAATGTAAGTAAGAAATATTAAAATAGATAATTTAAAATATAAAATTAAAATAAAGCAAAATTTTGTTAAAAAAGCAAAAAGTGAAAACGATTAAAGCAAAAAAGAACAAAAAGTCAAATGAGGTGTTATGTGGACACATTCCATTTAGAGATAGAAATGGTTTGAGTTGGGCGAGTTTAAGCTCACCCAACATCAACCTGCTTCTTCAATAATTCTATCTAACTTCAACTTTAACTCGATATCAAGTTTTTAATGTAACCAACTTTGACCTGACATATATATGTACATATATATACACACATTAATACATATATACATATATACATATATATATACACATATACACACATATATATATATGTATGTGTGTATGTGTGTGTGTGTAACACACATGCTATAATCATGTTTATAATAATTTCAACATATCTCATCATATCATTTAGGTAGTGCTTGATATGAGGTGATCACTTAAAAGATCATGGTAATTTATGTATGGTGATTAGATCACTGTGTTTGGTAATCATTTAGTGATCTTATATTGCAGTGATTTTCAATCGTTAAAAGTGATTAGATTACTGCATTGGAGGGTGATCTTATTTCCATCCGAAAAGATAGGAAACTTTTATCACTAAGGTGAAGTGATATGTAAATTAACAATTGTCAATATTACCCATTTAATATCGAATTAAAAACTTACTTCTTCTTAAAATTAATTGTTATCATTTTATATCATAATTTTTATATTTTCAAATTAATATTTATTGTAACAAGTTCAAAAATATTTTGTGTGATTTTTAAAATTTTTTATAGTATAACCTTTTAATTTTAATATATTAGTTTTATTTTTTAATTCAAAATTTTTACATAATTTATATAATCAAAATTAGTTTAATATCAATAAATATATTTTAATTTAATAATTTAATTATATTTATTATGAAGTAAATAAAATATTACTAATATTTTATATACAAATTATTATCTTTAAATAACATTGAAATCATTAACTTATGTAACAATTATAATGTGCATGGTTATTTTGGTACTTTCAAACAAAATTATGTTTGATATTTAGTAATACTAAACAAAGTATTCTTTAATTACTAAAAGTTAATAATTTTTAATCAAATAAAATAATTTTAGATCACGAGTGATAAGATCATTTTAATAACAAAATCACTTCGATAATTAAATTACTATAATGATCTTAAAAATGATATCAAACACTACCTTAAAGAAAACAATATGCATATATATAAATTCCCAATATTTTGGGTAACCATATGAATTTAAATTGAATTATACCCTTAATAGAAATTAATGATATAGTAGAACAAAATGCTTTACATATGAGTAATAACTTATGTGTCAACAAAGGTTCATCTATAACTCAACTAATGAATTAAAAAATATAAACTTAG